CACAGACATACATTTAGGGCTCTTCAGTCATTTGATTGGTGGGGACACAGATTAGTTCATGGTGGTGTGTTTCCTACCTTTTCTTAGCATTCCAGCTTTGGCAGGAGCAAAGGCAATTATAACACCAGCTTCAAACCACTTTGAAGGGATCAGGTAGTACCAATAATGTGCAAAATCTAAAAGATCTGTCACTATATTTAAGCCTTCAGAGCTGTTGTTGATAAAAAATAACTCCCACCACTAAGAATAAGAAATGAGTTCAGATAAAGTAGAAGTCCTTTTTTACGTTATCACAAGGGTAGGCAGGACAGCTTTTAAAAATGAAAAACAACAAAAGTTACGAGTTTGGAAAGCTACCCAGAATTTCATCCATGAGATAAGTTGAAAAAGTCATATACCTTTGTGTATTATGTATTACTGGAAGAAAAGTATGTGAAATTCTGTTAAAGTTTTTCTTCTGTTCATGTTGGTTGAGAACTACATGAGCTAAAATCCAGTGGGAAGGCCTCTGATGAGGAAAAAGCTGTTCTAAAGAAACTAATCATTTGTGGGACCTCCCCAAAAATAAGCCCAAGTGCTTATTTTCAAGCCTAAAAGAAAATAAGACCCAGCTTTATGTTGGGGAAAACACAGTATTTGAGAAGCAAGGTGATAGAACAGCTAAGATATGGAACCAGGACTGGAGAAATCTATATTTAAATCCAATTGCCATTAAAAAAAATCACTGAAAGGCCAAGGATTCTTTCTTAACCCCATCTTCATCAGAATGGATATGAAATGTAGGGAGATTCCCCATATAAATTGCCCTGAATTTTTGGAGAAAGGCATGCAGGAGTTCTCAGGACCAGATCATGGAGATAATCTGTCCACATTGTCCTTGAACTGAACGGAATACCAGTATAGGTGTGATATTAGCTGTGTACAATAAAAGGTGAAAGGTGTTACTTGGATAATGCTTGGGAGCCAGCTTTAGTTCTAATTAATGTGGCTGGAATATGAAAGGAAAAGTATAGAAAAATAATATCGGCCTTCAATGCTACTTCTTTGTATCAACTTAGGGCAGCAGAAATGCAGTACAGTATCTTAACTGTTGTTGTGTTTCTTCCAGACAATAGCTGATAGACAATATTATCTCTTTTAAGCAATATATTATTTTTCATACATTCATAAAAGCTTCTATGATGTAAACTGGCTTTTATCCTTTTTATGTATTACACTGATATATTGCTGGGCCATTTGAAATGTGCATTCTGAAAAGAAAAAAAAACAATAGCTCTGAATTCATTTTCTCCAGGTGGAATGCTTAAAATGTTCCCTTACCTTTGATTGACAATTCCTTGAGGATGACTATTAAAATCTGTTGGCATTTTATTAAGGGATAATTTTCTAACTTGGCAGGAAGTATGATACCCCCTCGGTCATAAGGCTCCAAATTTGACCTCTTTAAAATTAAGGGTAGGTAAGGTATCCAAACTGAAGTTGTCCTGTGGTTGGATGTATTTTTTAATGAAGATAATCCACCCTAAATCAATAGTCTTTGCAAACAAATGCTAAGCACGTGCATGAAGATATTTTCCTGAATTCAGTGAGAGCTACTCTCTATTTAAGGAGGGTGACCTTGATAATTGACATTAATAGCACTCAGAAACTAGCTTTTCTACTGTTAACTGGAGTATAATAGTGCATTCCGTATTCAGCTTTTTATAATTAAAGCTACAATACTCTATGCATTTCACTCAGATCAATGCCATAGAACTTATTTCCATATAAAAAACATTGCCAGCTACACATTTTAATTCAGCATATTTTCAGAGCAACTTCTTTCTTTTAACATTATTCTGAAATCCCATTGGAGCCAAGTTAAATCTGTATAGGATTGCAGCCTTAATTGCTTTATTTCATGAATACATTAATTTTGACAAAGAACAATTGTTTTCACAAAAATGTGTCAGGTAGTGGGAGTAAGCTAAATACTACTAATATTGTTGTTTAAGAGAGAAACATATTTTTAAAGGAAAAAAAGAGTAGCACATTAATCTGAACTTGTTTAAAATAAATGCTATAGAACAGCAAACAGAGGCGTCACCAAATTCCTGAAAATCTTTATGTCCAACCCTAAATTGCAAACCATTAGCTGTCACTGGGATTGAAAAAAGTGAAGGGGTTACATGGGTGGAAGAGAACAAGTAGCGTGTATTAAACAAACGATCCCTCATTACCCTGGGATGCAAAGCCGAAGCAATAAATATTTATGAGGTAGCCTCTGTCCAAAAGCCTGAAGATAATAGGAGTGTTTTATTGGTGATGGTCAAAAAAAAAAAGGCAGAGCTGAGTAATTTAGAGTAAGTTACAGAGTGAAAAACTTACCCTCTTGAATTGGTGTGCAAGACAAAGAAGAAATGTGGAGGGAAACTGCCTCACCACATAAACTGTCACTCCCCTCCTCATCTGCCCCAGGGATCTCGTGGAGAATTTGGCGCTGCTCCATCCACAAAGAAAACCCTAACTCCCCTTCCTCACCAGACCTGCCTCAACATTCATCCATGCCAGGGAAGACATTTCCATTCACAGCTCTGTTAATGCAGAGAACTACTTCAAGCTCATTATTCAGTATTGGTTTAAGGTTGCTTTCTTAACTTCAACAGATGACTCTGTCAACTCATAAAACATTTTGTATACACGTTTTATAGTTGACAACAGAAAGAAGTGGGGGGGAGTTTCAAAGAGCAGGCAGCAGTGTGGAATCGAAAGTACATTCCATTCATATTTTCTTCAAAGACTGATTAGATGACTGAAGCTTCTGCTGTGCAAAAATCTAATTGGAGAGCATAATTGATGACTCTTGGCTATGGACGTTTTTCGTTGGATGATACACCCAGAGGGGTGGGGGGGGAAGCAGGATCAAGGGTGACAGTGAATTACGTATTTCAGAGTTGGCTGCGCCCAGGTAAATGCCGCACATAGAATGTTAGAGGCTCATGATTTAGTAACTGCCGGAATCCTGACAGACTCACTAGATGAATGATAGTGGGTGAAGCTTTTCCCCAGGGGGCAGGTGCCCTGCCAGAAAATATGTTGGGCACCTTAATAAAAAGTGACTTGAATAGAGATGGCTACTCTTTATGAGTCCCAAATTTATGTTGCTAAGTGAGAAATTTGTTAAGTGAGTTTTGCCCCATTTTATGACTTTTCTTGCCAAATTTGTTAAATTAAGTTGTTAAATTAGCCACACAGTTGTTAAGTGAATCTGATTTCCCCCTTGACTTTGCTTGTCAGAAGGTCGCAAAAGGGGATCACGTGACCTCAGGGACACTGTAACCATCATAAATGTGAGTCAGTTATCAAATGTAAATCGTGTGACTACGGGGGATGGTCATAAGTATGAAAAAGGTTATAAGTCACTTTTTTTCAGTGCCGTTGTAACTTTGAATGGTCACTAAGCGAGCTGTTGTAAGTCAAGGACTACCTGTAGTACCCTGACTTCCTTGAAATGTATAGTCTTAGGAATGCCATGCTCCAAATGCCAAAGATTTGGAGTTTGGAACAATAATATATTGTAAGAGGGAAGGATAAAGCAGTAGATAGAGAAGTTAAGGTCTTCCCTTGCATGCTCGTGTTATGACTTCTTTTCTCACACCCCTCTAGCACAGTAGTGGGATTCAAAATTTGTTGCTACCAGTTCTGTGGGCGTGTCTTGGTAGGCATGGTGTGGCTTGGTGGGTATGGCATGGGAAGGTTACTGCAAAATCTCCATTTCCTCCCCACCCCACTAACCTGCTTTCCAGCTCTGTTCTCCTGTGCAGGGCAACACAAGAAGACCCAGCTGGGACTCAGGCGGCAGAGAATAGATGGGGGCAGGGCTGGTCAGAGGTGGTATTTGCCAGTTTTCCGAACCACTCAAAATTTCCGCTACTGGTTCTCCAGAACTGGTCAGAACCTGCTGAATACCACCTCTGAGCTAGCATGCTTAACTAGAGATTAGCACCAAAGAGGAAGTGTTGAGTAATAGAAGATCTTCCCTACTGCTGTCTATAGCTGCTCTTCTGCAAGTTATGCACTAGAGACCTAGTTTCTTCATCCAGAGATGCCACCAAGAGTCAGATTTAACTTCAGGCTGGGTAGAAAAAAGTAATATTAGCAGGAATAGAGAACACATGAATTCCAAACCCACAGTAGTTCTTTGGCTGAGGTTTATGAGAGTCGTGATTTTCATCACATCTTGATTTTCGCTGCAATTTTAAAAGGTTAGGGCAGAATGGACTTGGAGAGCCGAAATAGTTTCTGTGGCTCCTCTTCCTTTTCTGATCAACATTTGGATGTTGTTGCTTTCACCTCTTCAAGTATTATTTATGGCTTCATGGAACTTATGAGCATCATCTGGACGTGACATTCTGGCTGGAAAACTTGGCACGAGCAATTTGAAATGTGAATTTGCGCTTCCTCTAGTGACTTTCTGCCCTGCCCACCTGGTTATCTCAACGGTGGCACAATTGCAAGGGAGACTGGTAGATAAAAATCAGCTAAGATGAGTGTGTATATATATATATCCCACTTTTATTCTTTAAATATTTGAAAGCAAAAAGCCACAATAAATGCAAGTGCAGTCTAAAGAAGGTGTTAAACATACATTCTTCTCCATCCATCTGAAGCATGTCAATCTTAAATAGCAAAGTTACTTTAAGTGGTATCAAGTAAGGCAAAAGCACAAACAGTATTTGGGGATGTATTTGAAGGAGGAAAAAAAACAACCTCAAATTCAAATTCCAGATTGGATGGATACTGAAAGGCCTTGGGCCATATGCTGAGAATTCTTAAACATCAATAGTCAAAATTCTTCTGAATTTAAGCATGCATTCTGATTTTGCAGTCTGAATGTTTACACTGAAAAGATCAGAGCTAGTAAGACCTGATGGTTTTCAAAATGCATTATGTAATATATATATATATATATGATTCGTGTTGTTTGACATGTCCTTGGAAAGCTATTGCTTATTTTGCAGCAATGGTACACCAGCTCCATGAACATCGTTTGCACTTGGCTAACAGACCGCATGGACCTTCAGCTTCACATCTATCAACTAAAAACCCTTATTAGAGTAGTAAAGGTAAGTTTGCTTAATGTATTTGTGTAACTTGCAAATAGATTCTGCTCTCAGTCAGAAAGGAAAGGAACTGTGCTAATTAAGTGAAAGCTTAAGGGCCCGTTTGCATATGTGAACTTTGACTACATCTGCCACATTGAAAAAAGTCAACTGTGATGACCCAGGGCGTGGCACAAAAGCCATACAGCCAGACAACAGGATGAACTCCCCTTTATTCCTCCACCTTTGCACCCAAATGTCCCCATCTTTACTACAAGTACTGGAGCAAAGCTCTCACATGCACCTTCAGCAGCCTCTGGCTGCGAGGAGTCCAGTAAGCAAACTTTGCAAAACAGTAACCAGAGCCAGAAGTTCAGTGAAGCAGGCCAACCAAGCAAGCCCCACAAGACAGAGCACAGTAATCTCCAGACCTCGGCAAGTGCACACGAGGCTCCACAGATTCAATGCTTGTTCCTGACAAATGCCCTTTCCACTGGCATCTCCTTACGTCTCAGTCCTCAGGTGTGCCTTGCGAACAGGGGTGGGATTCAGATTTTTAACAACCGATTCTGTGGGCGTGGGTTAGGTGGTGGGTGTGGCTTGGGGGTCATGCGACTGGGTGGACGTGGCTTAGTGGTCATGTTATTGGCTGGGCGTGGCCAACTCAATATCACTCACATCGAGGCACGCATCTCCTTGCCTGGCCTCTCATGACTGTGGTGCTGCTGCAACAGTCGTAAGTGGGAAGAATGGTCATAAGTCACTTTTTTCAGTGCCATTGTAACTTTGAATGGTCACTCCACACAAGCAAAGTACCAGCAAAGGAGGGGGAAAAACTCCAGAGAAGCTCCGGAGATAGGAAGTCTAGTCCTGCCAAGAATGTAATAAGGGTTAACAGAGAGGCAGTTTCTGTAAGCAACACCAGAATGTTTCCTTCCTGCCTTCCTTACAGGATTAGACCAGTAATTTCTTCTAACAACCGGTTCTCCGAACTGCTTAGAATGTTAACAACCGGTTCTAGCAAATAGGTGCGAACTGGTAGAATCCCACCCCTGCTTGTGAAGGAGGGCAAGCAGGGGTGAGATGCTACCGGTTCTGCCCGGTTCTATAGAACTGGTAGCTCTGAAGAGCAGCAGACACAGAACCGATTCTGTGTTTGCTGCTTTTTGGCCCGCCCGCCCGCCTGGGCACTTACCTGTCCTTTATTTCTTGCTTTTACAACCTCAGCAGAGCTGAGGTTGAAAAAGCAGGGGAAAAGAGGCTTTTCGAACGCTGTGCACCTGTGCGCAGCGCTTTTCAGCTATCCGGGTAGCACAGCTTAAGGTTTTTTTACATGCATGCACATGCGTGTCAGGCGCACCTGTGCGCAGAGTACGCATGCGTGCGCAAAACATAATCACCAGGTAATAACGCTGGTTGAATCCCACCCCTGGGGGCAAGGCACTCTCCCCCCTGTAGCTGGCTCAGTCAGCATTATCCTTGCCTTCTCTCTTCTCTTCATGCTCTAGACTCAGAAGGGGTGGTCCTTGCTCATCATCTGAGTTCTGTTCCCCCTCCAGTCTATAAGATGTTCTAATCCTTAAATTCCTTGGCCTGACTGGCTCTGCCCTTCCCCAGTTTCCTCTAAGGCCAGCAGAGGCACCCCCTCAATCTCTGTTGGCTCCTCTTCCAGCTTATCTTCCCCCCAGAATTCAGGCTCCGAAGCAGGCATGACAGTCAACATGATATTGACAAAATATTCATCCAAGAGAGTGAAGATGGAGGAAACAGGGCAGGCAATTGTAGCAATTTGTCCATGTGTCAGCATCTCATTTAATCTTCATCTTCATTACAACTTTGAAGTTAGTCACACTGGGATATTTCCGATACTAGGTTTGGAACCTTGGAGGTCTTCTAGTCAGTGGTCTCCAACCTTGGCCACTTTAAGACTTGTGGACTTCAACTCCCAGAATTCCTCAATTTTGGAGACCCCTGTTCTAGTCCAACCCCCTGTCCGAGGCAGGAGTCCTGATTACCCAGAAATGTAACATCTTTCACACTAGCATTTACTCTATAGTTCAGGGATGGCAAACCTATTGAGCTTGCCAGGTCAAAAATTTGTAACATGCCTAACTTGACTCTCCTGGCATTTTCTCTCTCTCTCTCTCCCTCTCTCTCTCTCTCTCTCATACACACACACACACACACACACACACACACACACACACACACCAATTCTCTATCTCCCCTCTCTTCCCACTTAGGCCATTATGAAGAGTGGCATTTGACAGTAGTGCTGAGGCTCACCTGAAGTCAAGGTCAAGGCCTTGACTTCAATCCTTGCACTCCACACTGCCACTTAAAAAGACTGGCTGGAGCCATTCCCCAAATCTTGGGGAATGCTGAATGTTGCATTGCTTACCTTCAAGTGGTCTTGTCTTTCCGCCAACAGGCCCCTACCCAACAGTGCTCCTGGTCATACAAGGCCTTCGTTCTTGAAATGGCTTCAAAAAAAATTCTCTTTTGCAGCCCCTGCAGCCTCCAAAATCAGTACAAAAGCACACTCCATTCTTATGTGATTTTTGCCACTTCAGAAACCATACAAGAGCACACCTCGTTGTTGCACAGCCTCCCAAAAAATCGGTGGGAACAAGGCATGCCTTTAAGAATAGTTGTTGGGTATTGTTGAACGCTGGCATAAAGGCTGCCATGACACCCAAAACGTCATGGTGGGCCAGCTTTGGCACGTATGTCATAGGTTTGCCATCACGGTTCTAGTGTCAGGGTTCCAAGTAACACCTCCAACAGAATTCAAACTCCAAGGCGAGATTCTTCCTCAAAGTATACATTTATTGGAGACATCCTATTGGCACATCTGGGAGAAACCCAAATCTCAAAACCCCTTTTTCCCCACCCAAAGTAAAACCCAAATTTCCTTCCCCTGCATCCATCTTTTGCATCACATGGTCCAATCAAATCCACGTCCCAACTTCAGCCAACTTCAATCACGCCTTCCCAGGTACAAGCTGGATGTCCTTGGCTCTCAAAGGAAAGATTATGTTGTTAGGATTATACAGCCACACTACCTACACCTCCCCTCCTTTCATTCCCACAGTTAGCTAAACCATCGCTGTGGCGGCCCTGTAGACTCCCTCAAAGAATGACTTTAGGGCAGACATTTAGTTCCTTCCGTTTGATCGAATGAAACAAGAGCAACCTAGACAGATGGTACTGAAGAGCAGGGAACTATATGAGGATGAACAAAAGCACTGAGTCTCTTCACAAAGTGCTGGATAATCTTCTGTAGCAGGGCTGCTCCCTTCTATATGTAGAAAGAGAGCAAAAGATACTACCCAAAATTGTTAGGTAGCAATCTTCACTACTGACTTCACTTTCAGGGACTTGAAAGATCCTTAAAAACACATGTCATATCAGTATCTCACACATAATTAAAATAATTTCTCTTACAATAGATGTTGACAACATTTAAAAAGGGGTTACACACAAAACAAGAAGCTCTCCCTCATGTAGCTGTGGTGTATGTATGTGTGTGTGTGTGTGTGTGTGTGTGCGAGTGCGGGTATGTGTTGGATGGATGGATGGATGATAATTATTTCAGTGTGAAATCTCAGTGGCTTACATAAAATAATAAGATCTCAGGAGGAGGTAAATACATATTTGATCATTTTTTGTTCCATGTGATATATTTTGCAGATGAGGAGAATTATATACTTTAGAAAAGAAGTCATGAATAAATTACTAAAATGGTTTTTAATTTTCAAAATAAAAGCAATAGGTATTAGCACATTATTATTATGTGTTAGCTTGGGAACACTGAAAAACACGGGAAGTGTCTTTTGTACTATTAGACTACGTAATAACCTCTTTTTTAAAAAAAATAACAGTTTCTCTAGGCATAAGAGAAATGCAAAATACATTGTTAAACCGTACATGAATTTAACTAATACTTGTATTTTTTATGACGTCGCTGAATTCTGTGAAACCAACAAAACCAAAAAAACCTTCACAAACCTAGACAAAATTTTGATAAACAAATGGCTTTAACACCTAAGACGGTTCACAGCCCCATTTAGCAATAGCACTTAGACTTATATACCGCTTTACAGTGCTTTACAGCCCTCTCTAAGTGGTTTACAGAGTCATCATTTTGCCCCCAACAATTTGGGTCCTCATTTTACCCACCTTGGAAGGATGGAAGGCTGAGTCAACCTTGAGCCTGGTGAGATTCGATCTGCCAAATTGCAGGCAGCTGGCTGCAGCAGAAGTAGCTTGCAGTAGTGCACTCTAACCACTGCGCCACCGAGGCTCTTATTTATTTATTTATTCTCATAATTCTCATAATACTCAAGGAAAGGCTATTTAATTGAAAAATGGGGCCATTGCCCCTCCCCACAGCTTAGGGGTAGCCACAACTTTATCATTGTGATGAAATATACATCACAACAACATAATGAAGCAAGTTTTGCTCCTTATCTACTTGATATTATAAAAGGGGAACAGTTGTGTCATGATTTCACAGCATATCTTCCTCTTCCCTTCACCCTTACCTGCAGTCAACCCTGCCATATCTATGATATTTTTATACAAATGTTTGCCACTCCAGACTTCCCTTTGTTTGGTTCACTTCCAGTTTTGGAGTTTGAAATGGGAAGAGCCTTCCCCGTTCCCATATATGTTTCCATAATTTTATTCCATAATTATCATTGTGAAGACTTCTGTGCTATGTCATAAAATACAATCTTCTAAAAACCATTGTTCAGTCCTCCAGTTGCTTTTCCCCCGTTATGAAAACTATTTTCAGAAAATACTAGGCAAAAAGAAGTCAGGATAATTGCTTTAATGGTGGTTTAATGCTGGTAATGCTGGTTCTGAAAGAGGTCCCACTCTTTCCGAAGGAAGGTTGGTAAATCTGTAGAATACAAACTCCAAATAAACTGTCAAAATCAAAGGTGCATGAAAAGCAAACTTCCTTCTTTAAGATTTTCTTTATGGAAGGAAGTTAGATGTATTTAACAACAACACCCAAATGAACTCCTATTTCATCAATCAAAATAGCTTCCAACCTGATCCAGTTAAGAGCAAGCAAGAACATGAGAATAGGCTTCTGCTGGTTGACCCTTAAGTCCGATTAATTCTTCTCATAAATGGATACAGATATAATCAATTTGTGACCTCTAACAAATACACAGATGTGACAATAATATATTGTACAGTATACATCAATTTAAAATTAAGGAACCAAACCTCTTTTTTGGTCTCAATGGGTATTCATACTTAGACATTCAGCATTATCAAATCATTTTATTTCAATTTCTCTGTTTCGGCAGAAATGGGTTGATAAATCCTGGGGAATAAATACTGTAGGATAGCATCTGTTTCTAACAAAAGCAAAAGTGCTTGAAACATATTTGGAAACATGAAAGCTAATTGCTGCTATTTCTGGCTTGGGTTGGCTTGGGTTGGACATTTGGTCATGTCTTTCACAACACAAACTTCTTCATCCTAGAAAACCTACAGAGATTTCCGATTGCAAGGAGTTCTGGATTCTACTTTGAATAGTAAAACCTATGACACAGTCCGAAACCGGCTGACTGTAGAAGAAGCCACAGCCTCAGTAAGTGAAGGTGGAGGACTCCAAGGGATCACCATGAAAGACAGCGATGAAGAAGATGAAGAGGATGATTAGATCTCCAGATTTAGAGTCCCCCCAACCTGGATGTAGCCTGGAAACCAGTGCATGTAATCTAGTCGGTTATTCAATTAGCCACATTAGGAAATTTTCTGTCTGCTCTAAACGCCCATGGAAAATCTACCAATACAACTCCCATTTTAGCTGTGTGGTTCTTAAGACTTAGCACCTCTGTTTCGATTCATTGAGTTTCCTGATTTCATATCTCTATGTTTATAAGCAATATGGAGCACCATTGTTTAAAACAGTTAATTGAAAATAAATCTGCATAGAAAACATACTAGGTGTGTCCCTATAATAATTAAAGTATAAATGACGCTTCATTAATGTACGTATATACATTGATGGTAAATTGTTGTGAAGACAAGTGAAACAAGTACTTTCATATGTTTGTTTCTCTTCTATGGATGCCAACTGCTTCGAAACAGAGTAAGGCTACTACAAGACACCTATTTTGTACATTGGGGGGAGGAGGAACATACACCAGAAGCTGGGATTATTCCTGTTTGTTGTACCCGAGCACTTTTCTTCCAAAGTATACAGCTAACTTTGTAGAAGTGACTGACCATTGGAATCTTAGTCATCCATCTACAGAATGGGCTGTTCTTGGGCTGATCTTGATCACGTTGTCCACCTTATGATTCTGAGCAGTTGCTTTATGTCAGCGTCTTGCCCCACTCAATGTTACATTTTGTTCAGAGTTCCAATAACTGTGTTTGTAAAAAGGACAACTTTAATTACAACCTTAGACTATACAGATGTGTTTATAATAATGAGGACGCTATAATTAACAATAATGATAACAAAATGACAATTTCTTTTCGTAGACTGTATCCATAATTTACATCTCCTTTTGTTTTCATAATGGTTTTTATATCTTGTCATGTACATTGTATTTGGATCAGTAACGTGCATGTCCTTGCGTTTTTCCCCTCTCTTTCCAGGAGCTTTTATTTTTTTTGTGTGTAATATAGTGGATTCATCTTGCTTTTTTGCCTTATACAAGCCAACAGTTGTAAAAGTGTGGGGACTGTGGCTTTTCAATAAATAACTGTTCAGATGTCCTACTAATAAAACACTGGAGTCTTTTTATGTCTGCCTTAGGAAGAAGAAGAAGAAAACCAAACAAAACAAAAACCCCACAAAAAGATTAGTCAATTTAACAAGAATCCATGTAAGAGCTCCTGTCTTTTAGAATAAAGGAATTTTCTTTTCACCTGGATGGTTTTTAAAAAAAATAGTTTGTGAATTGAGGGGCTCTTTTTCCAAATTGCTCTCTGAAGGAGATGCAAACTTTGAGGCCCACCACCTCCCAAAGAAGCACCACTGAACTCAGGGAATTAGGCTTGGGAGGATGTTCTCAGACAGATGGTTTTCCAAGGCTCCTAATCAGAAGGCCCTGTTCAAACTTTCTCCATGGATTCTCTGTGATATTTGGCACGTATGTTCCTCTTGGTTTCTAGGTGCTCACTCAGAAAGGATTTTTTGAAATTACCGTCAGAGCATTAGTATTTCATATATTATTATTATTATTAACACGCTCTGATGCTAAATAGTTCTACTCCCCCTCCCCACCTGAAAAGAAATCTGTTCCAAATGCAAAACACAAGCAGAGGAGAGGAGTTTCAGTTTCAGTTTTAGTTTCACAGCAGCAAGCAGCTTTACTACAGAACAGTTGAGCTAAGCCATGCCCAGGCTCCTTGCTGTCTCCTTCTTGCTCACACAGCAAATAATGTTTCAGTTTCCAAACAGCCCTCAACTCTCTCACACACTGACAGGACGCTAGCCAGATGAATACCAATGGATGCTGGTAGGCAGAGGGAGAATTTTTTTCCCTTATTTTCCTCCCCAAAACCCAAACCTGGAAAATTTACCAATGGGAGGCAACATATGCTGTGAATGAGGCAGAACAATTACCCAGGAAGGCCTTTCACACAGAGTGAAGCAGCTTAGGAGACCAGCCAACAGGTTTTCAACTGTGGTTATGGAGTACAAATACAACCCAGAGGTGGGATTCAAATTTTTTAACAACCGGTTCTGTGGGCATGGCTTAGTTGGTGGGTGTGGCTTGGTGTTCATGTTATTGGCTGGGCATGGCCAACTCAATATCACTCACATCGAGTCATGCATTTCCTTGCCTGACCTCTCATGACTGTGGTGATGCTGCAACAGTCGTAAGTGTGAAAAGTGGTCATAAGTCACTTTTTTCAGTGCCATTGTAACTTTGAATGGTCACTCCACACAAGCAAAGTACCAGCAAAGGAGGGGGAAAAAAACTCCAGAGAAGTTCCTGAGACAGGAAGTCTAGTCCTGCCGAGAATGTAATAAGGGTTAACAGAGAGTCAGTTTCTGTAAGCAACACCAGAATGTTTCCTTCCTGTCTTCCTTACAGGATTAGGCCAGTAATTTCTTCTAACAATCGGTTCTCTGAACTGCTTAGAATGTTAAGAACCGGTTCTAGCGAATAGGTGCGAACTGGTAGAATCCCACCCCTGGTACAACCACAACCAACTCCCAAATTTCTGTTGCTAAGTGAGACAGTTTTCAAGTGTCTTTTGTCCCATTTACCACCGTTTGCACCATTGTTAAGTTGAATCACTGCAGTCCTTAAAGTAGTAGCATGGTTATTAAGTAAATCTTCCTTCCGCCTTGACTTTGCTTGTCAGAAGGTGGCAAAAGGTGATCACAAATGATTCTGGAGATATTTCAACCATCATAAATACATGCCACTTGCCAAACCATCCAGATTTTGATCCTAGGACAATGGGGATGCTGTGATGGACGTTAAATGTGAAAAACAGTCATGTCACTCTTTTCAGTGCCATTTTAATTTTGAACAGTCACTAAATGAATGGTTCTAAGGGTCAAGGACTACCTGTATTTCACAAGGTTTTTTTTTAATGGAAATTCAGAGAGGTGTGTTGTGTTTTAATTTACAGAGAATATCCATATTCATGGATGTTTGACAAGGCCATCTAAAACATAAAAGATGATTGATGATGATGATGAAGAAGAAGAAGAAGAAGATATAACAGCAACATAGTTGAATGCTCGGTCAAATGGCTAGCATGAAAAGCCATCAAAAAGTTTGCAAGGTTTATATGGCTGCCTACCTTGTAGAAGACAACTCTGGGCAGCTCTCCACAATAGTAAAACCAAAAATAATACAAACAAGAAAACAGAAACAAGAAGAAACCCATGACATTCCATGCAACAATCTACACAAAAGTTCATGCTCTTTCATATGAAGCTCAGTTCCTTTGGGCTTATTGGATATGTTCAAATGATTTTCTTGGCAACAAAATGGTGGTGGTTTGCCAATACCTCACTGGAGGTTTCTAAGAAGAGAGTGGATAGTTACTTGTCTGAAATGATATAGGATATTCTGTTTGAGCAAAGGGCTGGACTAGAAAACCTCCAAGGTCCCTTCCAGCTCTATTCTGATTTGATTTGTATTTGCCTCGTTGCACAGTATTTTCCTGTTTTACTTCCCAGTCCAACCTAAAGCCTGGTAGTCTCCCATCCAAGCACTAATGACGCCTGGCCCTGCTTAGCTTTCTAAGACATCTTTGGCGATGCCATTCAGTTGGGCAAGCATAAGGATGTACTCAAACTGAGCTCAGTGCCTGATAGCAACATGGACACCTCATGTGATATATATATACGTGATTTGCCATTGCCTCAGTCTGGAAATAATCATCAACGTTGTCACCTTTTTGAACTTGCCTATAGCCCTAGACATCCACAGTGCTCTTCCAACCAAACAGTAGAAGGCAAGAACTGGAGGCTGCAGAAACTGTGGGATGGTGCCACAAGTGGGTGCTAAGGAGTGGGGGGTGAGTCAGGAGGGTGCTGCAGGAGGGCAGGCATTATGCTATAGACTGCAGTAGGTTGAAGGTAAAAGGCTCCTCAGGAGAAAAAGCAGTGGGAATGACTTAGGAGGACAACATATAACCTTCCTTGCTGGCTTCCCCATTGACTTTGCTCGCGGGAAGCTAGTGAGGAAAGTTGCCATAGCTATCAAAATGTCAATATCGCAATCATGTCACTGTGGAGACATTGCAATAGCCAGAACTTTGATGGCTGATTACAAGTCCATTTTTTTCCCCGTGCTGTAGTTTCACTTGATCTGAGTTAATGGACCTGTAATTGTCATGCAATCCAACCCACGCTTAACTAACTTGCTAATAAACACATCGTCCAGTTCTCCTCTTTTGCATAATCAATTCAGTAGAGTGGTCCCACAATCTATTAGGGAAATTTTCCAATCCAAAAATTAGGTAAGGTTAATTTAGCAATTCCATACTGACTTCTAGTCATGATTGCATTGCCTTCAAAAACATACCAATCAATTTTTTTATGATTTGCTCTAGAATCGTCCCAAGTACCAATGTCAGATTTATGTCAGGATTCTGGCACTTAAATCATGAGTCTCGAGCCAAATTTCCAAAACTTCAAAAGGATTTATTGGGAGTTAAAAAGTGCGGCATTGCCTGGGTGTAGCCAATTCTGAGACACATTGTTCTTTGTCACCCTTGACCCAGGTGTTCCCCCACCCCCTGGGTGTATCATAATTCATATCCTCCAATGGGACACATCCATAGCCAAGAGTCATCAACCATGCTCTCCGGTTAGAATTTTGTGCGGCAGAAACTTCGATCACCTAGTTACTATCTTGAAAACATTTATGAAATGCAGTTTCGGTTGCAAGCTATCACACTGCTCCCCCCATCCTTTCTATTGGCAACTCTAAAAGACCATAGAATTATTTTATGAGTTGACAATTTACAGTCTTCAGTTTACTGTATCTTCTGACTTCCCCCTTCCAAGATAGAGGTGTGTCCTTTCTTCCCATCATGTGGCCCTTCATCTCCAGAATTTCTCAAAGTTAATACATAGGATTCAGCCAGACTTTGGTGTTTTGAGATGCCATGTCTCTGGCTCTGGAGACTTAACCTCAACGTCAATCCCGTATTTCAAGTTTGTCCCTTTATCTTGTTCTACACGATTGCTTGGTAGAACACAAATCTTGATGAACGAGGCTACATCAAAACCCCTGGGAAGGTCCCTTAGGCCAGTGATCCCCAACCTTTCTTATGCCGCGGCCCGGTATCCCCAACCTTTTTTATGGCGCGGCCCGGTACCGGCATTAGCTGGGCACCGCCATCTTTTTTGATGAAAAAGTGCTTCCGGTGACCTCACCAGAAGCACTTTTTCATCAAAAAAAGATGGCGGCGCCCAGCAAACCAGCGGCCTGGTAGGACTTGTTCCACGGACCGGTACCAGTCCGCGGACCGGTGGTTGGGGACCCCTGCCTTAGGCTTCTGGGGATATTTCTCATTCAGAGTTGGTTTAATGTCAAGGTTCCAACTAATGAACCCAACCAATTCAGCACCAATTCAGAGACTTTCAGCTTTCTCATTGAACTGTTTTATTGAGTACATCATTTCGGCATGAATGAAAAAAAAACCAGCTCTAAATGTTTCCCATGGTTTCCGTATAATTAAAGAATAGATCATGCCCTCCCTCATAGTCACAGGTCACATTGTCCAATTAGATGTTCTGGCACCTTCAGTCTCTGTCCAGCACCTGTTGCAATGACCTTGGTTCCCATGGGATGGTCTGTTATTGCTGTCTGGGCGGACATTCCATAGCTCCCTCCTTCCCCCCAGAGTGTGGCAAAATGAGATACGGAAAGATGGCTGTGACAGGCCTGATCAGTTTCGAAGTTGACATTTAGTTGACACTTGTGGTCATTTGC